CCTTCAAGACTGAGACAAGACCGAGTCCAAACACGGTCAAGTCCAAAACGAGACCAAGGCCAGTCTCAAGTACTACGACACTAAGTAAAGGATTAGTCAAACATGTGTGAATGAAACAAAACACAACTTCAGGAATGTCACAGGAGTCAATTTTATGTAATATAAATCCTTTAATACTTTGTAAACTGATTCCACGCACACAAACACATACATACACCAGCCCTCCCCCTAAACTACCCAAGCGTAGTTTTTTAAGAGCAAGCTTGCTTTTCCCTTTTCCCTCCATATTGTTCCAACACAAACTGCCAGCTGCTTGTGACAGCCAAATTACTGTGCGCTGAGAAATGATTGCTATCACAGACTTGGCCCTCTCTCTCTCTTTCTCTTGCGTCGAAACCCCGCTCACCTCATGCTTTCTGAAATGGCCAGACGTCTGTGAGAAAATTATACACTTTATGGTCATCAGTGGTGTCTGATGCGGCAGCCTGAAGGTTTGCAGACAGCCACTGACGAAATAGAGAAAGTTCAATAAGAAGTTTGAAACCAAAACTTTTCAGGGATTGCTCTAAGTCCTGCGAGCTTCATGTTGGCACGTCTGTTGGATACAAGACAGCTCTGGAACCAATATATTAATAAGCCATTTAAGTATTTCCGTGTGAGCACTACAGTCATTTTTCCAGTCCATTATTGGCTAGACCTGTCACAATAATTACTATATTGATTTATTGTTCAATATCTATCGAGATGAACAATATTGTTTAATTTCTTTTCTTACTTTTACCCAGTATTGGGCTTATATAATGTCATTTGAGTTGTAGATGGTCCAAGAATCAGCTTATATAATTGCGACATTACACATACTAGAATTAACTACTTTCATGTTTTCATTAGGGATGTAACAATAATCATAAAAGAATGAGATCTTCGCACATCAATTACTAGAGATGGGTGCATCGGAGGAGAGGGAGCAGCCCAAGAACATAGAGAAAAATCCCGCACACCATCTTACTTGCAAATTTTGAGATTTATTAGGATAAACTGTGCAACGTTTCGGCAATCGGCCTTCGCCAGGCAAACAGTATGAGAGCTCAGGTGGCAATCTTAAACAGGGTGTGGCCACACCTGTTTGCCTGACGAAGACCTAGTGCCAAGTTCTAAGCACTTTTAAGTCTTTGGTCTTTGGATTTAGTCTTGTCAAGGCATTTTAAGAGGAAAAAGTAGCATATTAACAGTTTTAGTTGTTTAGCTTCCACAAAATATTGCAATAAATATCGTACCGCGAGATGTATATCGTGAAAATATCATACCAAGAGACTTGGATATCATTACACCCCTAGTTCTTATTGTACTGTAAGATTTTGGAACAAACTGCCCCCCCGATATACGGATCATCACAGACTTTGGCCTGTGTAAATCCCAGCTAAAAACCTATCTATTCAAACTGGCTTTTATAACACTCAGTAATACAGTGACACTTTCTTTTATTTCATTGTTTAATGTTTTGTATGTTTTTATATTGTGTTGATTTGAATGTGAAGCATTTCCGTCACCTTAAGTGTTGAAAAGGGCTCTATAAATAAAGTTTGATTGATTGATATATATTGCTGGTCACATTATTGTTTAATATAATTCACTTAGCAAAAGAGTTTCCTGTGATTATTCTGCTTTAAGCTTATAGTAAAATGGTATAAATTCATTATATTATCATCGTGTATTGTGATATTGACCTCAGTGTTTTTAAAAGTGTTTTGAAGAGCAAACTCCACCAAACACTAAGCAAAAAACACCCCCCTATTTTCTAAGACCTATTTGCATTTGTGACTGGTCAAAGCATTCCAGTCTAAGCAGGACATTCCGGTTGCCTGACCAAAAAGGAGACACCCCTTTTCTATACTTTCAAAAGATGTATAGTTTTCGAACCATATCCCGTCTCAACAAGTGGCTTAACCAATTAGAACAAACAGGGCAGGCTTATTAGTAAAAAAAGAATAAAATAATACTAGTCGACAGGAGGTAATTCCACTTTTTAGAAACCGGTAGAACAGATTAGCAGCTGTGATGAGCTGAAAGATAAAATGAAAGCTCAGCAATTCACCCACAAAGGATGCTGCAAGCGAACATTACTTTTTAAAAGGACCCATATTGTGCAAAATGTTACCTCATCAAAAATATACCTGGAGTTGTGTTTTGTTTGTTTCATGTTTGATTAACCCTTTTTTATCTGTCTAAGCTAAGTCTCCAAAGCTCAAGATGCTCAAAAAATAGTGGTAATTTTCAAGTTACCAGCTACATTTTACCTTTAGTTCAGTGGAGTTTGGCAATTCCAGTTCTTAAATTAATCTAGTGAAGGTGTTTAGAGTCATTACCACATAACATCACAACGTGGAACAGAGTGTTCAGTTTGAGAACTCAGTCTAAATATGTAGAGTTTGTGTGATAAACCTGTGTGAATGAAACAAAATGCAACTCCAGGCATGTTTTTGATGAGGAAACATTATAAAACAGATCAGGAAATATTGTAATATGGGCCCTTTAAGGAATCAATGCCCCTTGTTTACAAAAAGCAGACTTATCTTTCTCGAGCTGTACTAATTTCACTAACCACTAACCTTGAACCGCATTGACTATTTTGCAGAGATAGGGTTAATCACAATAACAGGATACAAGTATTCAAGACCCCCCAGACCCCCGGAGCCTACAGACAGACTGCCTGACGACCTCTTATCTGACCACTATCAGGGGACTCCAGTATGTGCGCGAGTGAAAGGCAAGAAGTCACGCAGTCAGGCAGTGATGGCTGGTCAGCTATGAGCAAAAACAATGTGATCTTTAAGAGTGGTTGCTTCTAATAGGTCAGTGCGTTAACAGTATTCTCTAATGTCCTGTTATATTAGCATTTTAGAAAAGCTACTTAAAATTCTAGCGAGGTTATTCCCAAAATCTGATCTATTGATCGACTCTACACAAACTCAAGCTTTGTCAAGTTAAAGTTCTAGTAGAGGGTCTGTGGTGTATTTGCCAATGTGAAAATGTTATTGCTTTGCCTGAAATCTTCCAGCCAGGTTGGCGCCACCTAGTGTCTCTGCAAAATTTCATTTCTATCCAGTGACTAGGTCAGGAATTGGAATACACCAGAGTGTTTTCAAGAACCTCTGAACCAGCCAATCACCGAAGAGTCATACATTTTGTGTTGTCAACGATTCCCAAGATCGAGGATTTAAAGCCGAAAAAATTAAATGTTTGGTGAATTTGATCAAGGGGAAAGACATTATTGCTCTTTTTCCTATGGGATTTGGGAAAAGCTTAATATACCACTTAGCCCCATTACGCATTACATACGTCACGACCAAACAGCAGCGATTGGTTAAATAAAAAAAGTATACGCCTACCTTCGAGTGAACAAATTCTAATGCTGCGAGGTCAGACGGTTTCCACAAAGTGAAACCGGCTGATGAATCAGGCTAGAAATCTTCCACAGTATGGCATTAAACTTGCTATCTCCGTAGAGACAAGCAAGACTCTGAGAGAATGGCAAGTTTAATGCCAAACTGTGAAACATGCAAGACAAAGCAATAATATAACTATACAAGCAGGTGGAGTACTTTTCAGTTTCAAACCTTTAAAGTGTCCATATTATGCTATTTTCTGATCTATATTATCATATCAGCCTGGAGTTGTGTCTTGTTTCTTTCACAAATTGTTAAAACTCAAACCTTTAGATTGTTTCAGCCTGTGGAATTGCCCATCTCTACTGAACTAAAACGGTTTAAATTAAAATAAATGAACATGGAAACTACTGCTTCGTGACATCACAAGGTGGAACAGTGCATTTTGAGCTTTGGAGATGCAGACAGACTAATAATAAAGGGTTAGTCAAACGTGTGAATGAAACAAAACACAACTCCAGTATGTTTTAGATGAGCCAACACCTTTCTAAAAAGCTCACAAGAGTCCATTTTGCGTTATGTAAGGTCCTTTAATTTTCACACTTTTAAATTAGTATGCTTCCTGTGTTCCTCATACCAGTATTATTTCCATTTTAATCCATTTAGTGTAAAATAAACAGAGCAAGGAAAGTGTACTAGTACTCCAGCTAGGATCGCAGAGCCCAAAAGTTGAAGTGAAGCAAAAGCCTGATTAGTATGTGGGAATGTAATTTCAGGGGAGCCAGTACTTCGAACAATGTGTGAGTTGATTCGAAAGATGAACATTGGAGCGCTAGACGTGCCCATTCACACGTCTTTTAATCGGCACAATTATCGCTGATGGTTTTTGTGCGAGCGTTTACACCTCAGTAATGAAGTTTGCACCCTTTCATCAGCAGCTTCCCTCCATTTCTTTCTCTTTTTTTTCCTCCTGTCTTTTTACTACTGATTGCTTCTCCACTCCATGTCTGCGTAATGGAGCACACCTGGGCGTAAGATGTCAACAAAAGACTGTTTACATATTGTTAAAGGCTTGAATTCTTGAGGGTATTTCACTGTGTCCAAACCTGTAGCCCCGCACTCTGACTCTCCCCATTCAATAAGTGCAAGGCAGGCAATTGTAATGTTAAAAGTGCGCACAGCGGGAGGCGAGGAGACGCACGACCCGCAATCGCGACCCTCCCAAAAATACTATTAGCATGATAATACATTTCACAAAGTCACAAGTACTGCCCACACTACTCGTTTAATTTGATGGCGACGCTAAAATTACGCAAAAAACCGATCCAAGGTTTACGCGTAAAGATTTGGATGCAATATTTTTACGCAACCAGATGAATTAGATAAACCAAAATAGCTATGCATATGTTATAAATATTTAAAGGTTACGCATCATATTATTTTTGGGTGGAAAATACGTGTAAAATGTACGTAAGCTCTCTTTCCAACAGATCAGCAAACTTCTAACCACGTCCACACAAATGTCCATACTCCATAGGCTACCAGTACCAGTGTAGACAGTCACGCATTTCACGTTGTCTAGAGTTAAATTCACACCATTTTACGCAAACTTACCTCGTGAAATAGTCTTGAAAGTGCTTTACGAAGATTCAGCAAGAGGTGCAGGTCGAACTACTGTGCCATCTCCCCCAAAAAATCACCAGCAGTACCCGATTTGTTTTCCAAACTCTAAAAAGCCGAGTCTGCATGACGCCAACATTCTCTGCCCGATGGTTGCGCGGTGGAAAAAGTAAAAAATCATAAGGTATTCGTCCTCACACGGGAGAAAAAAGGAAGACACATATTGTTGCGCTGGGCTTTAGCACACCGTTAGCTCTGTTTAGGTCTGACTTCTCAACTCGCACTGAAGGCGACAGTGTGGTGAAGGCAGGAGCCAGCGATCTGAGGAGGAAGTTCCCGTGCTACAACTCTCTGTAATTAACACACGTGAAGCGCACAGCAGGACGAGCGCGCACGTCCGGCCACTGCCTTCAAAATAAAACAGTGGTGAAAATACTACAAACACTAAAACTAGGAATATACTTACAATGGGAATGTAAGAACGAGAGAGATTATTAGATTTAAGTTGATTTTTGGATAGGTCTACTTTAGGTTTATCATAAAAACTGTAGCCTAATCTAATCTCTAGAGCAGTGGCACTCTCTTTATGCCATGAGCGCCATGATAAACATTGGCATTTGCAACTCCAAAACATAAGTAAAATGGTGAAGTGGGCCCCTTTTTTTTTAGAACATAGGCTTAAAAAATACATTTCACCAAATCAGAATCTACATTTACCACTTGAAGGTGTCATCTGATCCTCAGGTTGAGAACTACTGGGCTGTGGTATAAGAACAAATTAACATTTGATTTAATATAAATTGTAAATGTAAGAATACCCAAGCTAGTAGTAGAATAAAGTTTTAATTTTGGTCAGATGAACATTCTTAAAATTGTTGCAATGTCCTTACAGTAACCAGGACAGTCTAATATTATCTTATCGCACTACTGTGACATGCCAAACCTCTGAAGTAGGCAGTAGGGTTTAATTGACATTGAAAAGGCCCCTTAAAAAGTAATCAAGGGAAAGAATCAATTATAGCACACTCCAGCTCATATCATTACATCACTATATTGCCTAGGTTTATGTTTTGTGCATTAGAGTTAATCTACCAGATTGTCTAGGATCAGATCTGATGCATTAACCCTTACAGACCAACTCTGTATATCTCTCTGTTGTTATAGTGAAGTGACATATTTCTATATTTTAATTCGCAATCTAGCATAATTATAAACAACTTTAAAGTAAATATATTGCTTTCAGTCGACAATTTCTGCTTTGTTTATTTATAAATAAGCTTTTATACTGAAGGTCAAAGCGCATTTCCGGTCAGGATGTTGTTTTCATTGGCTTGATTACAGGACCACGGCATGTTTCAGCTCTGTAATTAAAGGACCATTACCATTGATTTGTTCAACGCACATCCACTTTGCAAAATGGAGCTTTTACCCTATTATATGGTAATGTTTATAAAATCCAAAATGTTCGCCTATTACTTAGCCCACAAATAAGTGTTTTCTGACATGACATCAGAAGCCCCATGTTTTGAATTAGGCAAATGATTCCATATGTAGGCTATATTTTGCATTTTTAAGTATTTTGTGGTAAAAGGTGTAACCTAGTATTGAATAATGGGTGGTCTACATGCTGCCTAATAGGAAAATTTAATGGAGAAATGTGGTTCACAAAGCAAATTGCTGGCTTTAATGCTTTAATGTGGAACACATTAACACATGCTCTAGACTAAGCAATAACATTTCTGTTGAGACAAATACATGCAGACTTTCCACCAGAAAAGTAACATTACAGTGCACTCTTAAATCCGTAGATAACGCCTATGTTTTTGAGATTTTACTATAGCTATCACTGCTTACATCTTATTTAGACTTAGACTTAAACAAACTTTATTGATCCAGAAGGGAAATTATTTGGACACAGTAGCTCACACATCACAATATCTTATAACAACAACATTTATAGTTTTAGTTAACACAGTCTAAATTAATGGACAAAAGAACATCTGGTGTTTACAAAGGATAGGCTTCAAAAATAAGATAATTAAATCATATCTGAAAAATTGGTACAAGAAACACAAATGTTAATAGTTGATATTTTGCAGTGACATGACGCTGGGGGTTTTCTGCATGTATTTTCTATAGCAGTTACCATGGTGACACTGCAAACATTAGCAAACACAGCCAAAAACATTGCATGTATTGAAAAACACATTTTCAGCAAAATACAAGTGCTCATAGCTCTGTTTGGGAGTTTGATTTCCAACAAAGGTGCGAGTAACTAACTGAAAAACTGTTGGCTGTGCTTGTTTGTGACTGTAATTTTATGTGTGAGAGACTTGTTTAACAGCACAAATCATCTTATCTGTTGTAGTTCCAGTTAAGTCAGTTCTTTGTTGTCAGCTTGTGTTAAAATAAAGATCAGATAATGTTTAATTTGAGTAACAGAGCTTCAGACAGAACAGTAGCAGTGTCTAGAGTTACTATCACACCCCCAGGGAATGTTAATGACATCAGCTGCAAAGTATATTATTATTATTATTATTATTATTATTATTATTATTATTATTATTATTAATTAATATTAATAATAATAATAATAATAATAATAATAATAATTTAGCTTTTTTTATGACCTCTTGTATATAGCCGAGATTTTTTATTAATTAATTATTTTTCTATTTTGTTTTGACTTGTACATATACATTTATATTATGCCGAATTTGAGACCAGTCTCTTGCTATCATTTATGCTACTTTAGAATTTATTATTACCATTTGTATCTTTTACTCTTTGTTATTATGTTTATGTTTTATATTGTGATGTGTGAGCTACTGCGTCAAAGTAATTTCCCCTGTGGATCAATAAAGTTTGTCTAAGTCTAAGTCTAAGTAAGACTAAGTTATTATTACTAATTCATATTTCTTAGACAAATGTATCCTAAAAATGCCAGATTATGTCCTTTTTGTCCCCATCCTTCACTGCACAATGCTCAAGTAGACTTCTCTCCAGACCAGACCTGGGCATTGTACAATTCCTGGGTTGACTCTGACCGGCCTGTTTAAGCTCATTTGTAATTACAAAACAAACACATTAATAATAATAATAATAATAATAATAATTTTACCTCATACATGATGGACTAAAGCTGCATTGCTTTTATTTTAGAGGTGTTTATTATTATTATTATTATTATTATTATTATTATTATTATTATTATTATTATTATTATTATTATTTATATTTATTATATATATATTTTTTTTGTAAGGCAAACTCACTTTTTTATTGCTTAGTCATAACATATACTGCTATTTACTGCTTTTTTAAATAAAGAAATACAACCACCCCTGCTCCAGATCTATAATAAAAACTTGTATTATTATTATTATTATTATTATTATTATTATTATTATTATTATTATTATTATTATTATTATTATTATTATTTATCGATATTATTATTAGTAGTAGTCGTATGCTTCAAGAGGACCAGCTGCGGGGCACTAGAGGCCGTTTCCATGGTAACGCCCTCCCAACTTTCAACAACACACTTCGGCGTTTTGACTCTGCACTTTGCTCCGCTCCTACCGCCATGACTTCAGAGTAAGTACAAAAACCCCCCCAAAAGAACAACGTGTACGCAAATTTGCATTATAATCTTACTTTAATTCAGTTTGCAAAGTTTTATAGCGAACTTGTCTTGATCCTTTTCGTGTCGCTTCTGATCTGGCACATCAGTTATTATGCTAACAAGCTAAGTTACGTTAGCTTGCATGCGTAATAGTTTGACCTTTTTTTTTTTTTTTTTTTGCCTTTTGATCAGAAATCCTGCAACGCCCACGAGTGATGATGTACCATCGATAAATCCTGGTGAGTACAGAGTTAACAAGCAAATAATCCTTGAATTAATGCATATATTTTAGCTGCAGCTGCATGTAACGCTGGTGTTTTTTTGTTTTTGTTTTTTTTGCTTGATGCATTAACGTGGTGATCTGGAAACTATTGCAAAAGCATGAAAAATCTTGAATAATTCTGCAATATTTTGGTATGTTTGTTGACAGAGGATAAAAATGTCTGTCTTCCTGTGAATGGAAACATCTCCCAAATCCCAGGTCTGTCTCCTACACTTAAAGCCCTCAGTGATGAGAGGGTCCGAGGGAGGAGAGTTGGGCTTATGGCCGGTGATTCTGAATATATCAAACTGGCAAAGCAAGGAGGACATAAAGGTAAGGAGGAGAGGACACGGTTTGCATGTGATGTGACTCCTGATGCGTCATGGTGTATTTATAACCGGCTCTAAACTGTCCTTTTGTTCAACAGGGCTACTGTGGCACAATGATTCTTCCTCTACTTCCAGTCCTCGCTCGTACAAGGTTCCAGACTGGTTTTCCCCTGCTCACGATGGCAATAATCCAAGGTAAGGGACATCAAAATGCAGTATTGTGGCACTTTTCTTATCTGAGTTAGAATGTATGAAAATAAATTGACATAAGTGTAGTGTAGCATTCACTATCTTATAATAATTTACTGTTTACAAACATGTAACAGTTCAGGTTGATATAATTTCTTTATATTTAAAATGTTTATAGAAATCTGGAAATATGTCTTAAATTGAAAATATTAGTTAGCAGGAGACAAATACAGTACATAAATTAATTAATTAATTCAAAAGTACTTACAACTACTGGATCACTACCAGCACACAATGATGTCAGAATAATTTAGTGTTGACATATGCAAAATTAGAACATGGAGTACCTTACCCAAATCAGCGTTTCCCAAACTTTTTTTCTTGGGACCCATATTTAAAAGTCACAAACTTTCGTGACCTGAGTGAATAGACATTTTTCGTACATTACAAAATAAAGGTGGATTTGACCGTTATTGAACATTAATGAGGATATTTTATTGTTGACTGCGTGATCATGTCTCTCTGAACAATTAGTATTATTCAAGTTTTAAACAATGAAAAACTGTAAGTGAACCAACAATAAAAGGATCCATAAGTTGCCTATTTGGACATTAAATGTAGCCTATTTCTTTTTCTTTTCAACATTCAATTGAACCAGCAATATTGGAACAAAATGGTCAATAAAATAATTACAAAAAGATTAGAAATTATACAAAACATGTCTTAACATTTCAATATTTCTAATGAGATAGGTGGGCCTGTCTGCATTTTTGTAGCACATTCCAGTCCGAGGTGCAGGAGGAGAGCGAAACACACAGATCAGTTGTATTTAGGCAGAACTGAATATTGCAGACCGACATGCAAATCGTGACAAGGCGATCCAAAAATAAGTCTCTTGACCTGAGGGTCGTGACACAGTCTTTGGGAAACAATGGCCTAGATGAATAACTATTACAAATTTCTGCAAAAAAGAGCTGATTAAAAATAAAATAATACAAACTTGCAAATATACTTCCACACTATGTACCGAGATTAATAAGGTGTACTGGCAAATCCATAATCTTTATACATTTAAATTGTTTATAAATGTATACAATACCTCACAGTTCATATTTATTACTTACCAATCTATAAAGCAAACTCTTTAATATAAGTCAAACTCTTAACCAAAAGCTCTTTTAATGGCCTGAATAGTAATGAGTATATTTGAGTTTATTGTTCATAAATGGAAAGTTACTCTCATAACAATAGAATCTCCACTCCAGTTATTATAAAGACAAAGTTGATGCTTTTTGCACAAGCTCCTCATTAAAAGTACTCACCGCCTCCGCACCAGCATTAATCTCTGCTACTCTTTCTATGTATTTTTGTCCTTATTTGTCAGCTCCAAGTTTATTCTCACCGCTCCCTTTCTGTTTGTGACAGTCTCATTACCAGCGAACACAAGAGGAGCCCCAGAGCTTTCCAGCGCAGAGAGCCACCCTTTGGGAGTGATAATATGTCTGCTTGGGAAAGGGAGGATACCAGCATCAACACCAACACAGTGGTAAACAAAAATACCTGCAGACTAGTAACATCAGCTTTGACAAGTAGATGGGGTCACTGTGGTTTAACCTGAAATGTTTTAACTGCATGGATGAATTAACAATAATAATCAAATCGAAATTATATGTAGAATAGTCCAACACTTTTCTACACGCAGCCCCTCCACCACTGAAATAAATTAGATCATTTAATGGTCCTATATTACACAAAATAGACTCTAGTGAGCTTTTAGCCATGTTATGAGCTGTTACCTCCTCAAAAACACTGGTTTATTAATATGTCTACATCTCCAAAGCTCAAAATGCTCTGTTCCACCTTATGATGTCATGTATTGTAGTTTTCAACTCAACAGCTACCTTTTTACCTTTTGTTTATTGGAGATTTGCAATTTCAGGCCTGAACTACTCCAAATGATTCTAGTGAAGGTGTATGGAGTTTAAAACACTGTATTATCATGGTATTGTATTGTACTCCATTGTTTTCTGATTGAGAGAAGAACTCGTGTGAACATGTGACTAAACACAGCTCCAGGTCTGCCTCTGATGAGGAAACAACACTTCAACAGAGATCAGAGGATTGTGTAATAATATGAGCCCCTTAAAAAGAAAGACGGTGTTACCATCACTGTGCTGCTGTAATCTGCATAAATAGATAAGATAAGAGACTGTTGTCATCTGTATTGAAAACATGTCAGTCAAATTCCAGTTTGTGATGTAACATTATTCCTGTATTATGTCATGTCATATTCATGTCTACATTTGTGCGTGACAGAACAACAACATTCCAGACGAAGAGCCGGAGAAACTGCCGAGTCAGAAACTGGAGCGCAGCAAATTCAGACGGCTGTAAGTGCGTTTAGCCACTAGGTGGTGCTGTTGTTCTGGAAAAAGTTTGACTTTCTGCACTAGAGATGATGCACTATTTTTATGTCATTATAATGTTTTTTAATCATATGCATATTAATATACTGACAACAACAAACTACTGTTTTACAAGAAATGCATATTTTAATATTTATTGGTTTGTTTTCAAAAGTGTCACCATGAGTCAATCCGCAACAAAATGTCATACTTGAAAGTTTTGGGTGATTAGAAATCAAACTATCTTCTTAATAAAATACAGTTCACTGTTTCTATGATCGATAATAACCTTGATAAGTCTATTAATAACTTGTGCAGCCAGTTTTATGCAAATATCTTTAAACCAGTCAAAGTTGGTTTGTACAGTACAAACAAGATTGTGTCTGATCTTCTGCATATAATAGCCAGAGGTGGGTAGTAGTCTGTTACATTTGCTCAAGTAACTTATGGAAGTTATACTTTTCAGAGTACTTTTTAACAGCAAACCTTTGAGTAATATTATTTTGAAGTCACGTTGCTTGAATACATTTTTTGGCTACTGTACCTCTTGATAATAGCAGTATAAAACTAAATTTTGTTGTAAAAAGTCAGCAGAATTATCAACAACAGACATTCCTGTGAGTGTGTACATTATTTACAAAGGCCAGTGTAAACGAGCACTCTGTCCTGAACTTCGCAGTGTCTGTATTTGCCAGAGGGTACAAGGCCCATGCCTCAGTCACAGGGTCGCAGTTTAGTTGCTGTTTGCTTTGGCTCCCAGCTGTTCTGCTCTGTTTGTTTAGAGGAGAATCAATGACTTTTGCACGCTTGATTTAATGTATCCAGAAAAATCTAGTCAAGGAGGGGAACTTTTTATTAAATTGTTTTGTAACATCACCACTGTGGCCTCAGATAGGATGTAAGCATGAACCAAATACTGATTTTACTGAAAACAAGTCAGCATCAGTGTTCATTTATTTATGGTTACAAAACTTATTCTACGTGAAAAAGTTGCACCATTAGTTTCAAGTTTTGCAATAACTTGAAATAACTTTTTTTTTGCAATAAAATCAGGTGGCCTCTTTATAAAATGACAGCTAATGATATATTGATATTAATACAGTAAGGGCACAACTTTTAAAAAATGTGCACTATGTCACATTTCTGGTGGAAGGTCAGACAATCGCTAGTCTCCACAGAAATGTTATTGCTTTGCCTGGAATGTTCACAAACAAAGAACTTGCTTCGGCGCTGTGGTGCAATATTATACAGTGGAACATTCCAGGCAAATAATAACATTGCCATGGAGACGAGTAGATGGTATAACCTCAACTAGAAAAGTTACACAGTGCACAATTAAGCAACTTGCGCCTCTCCGTCCTATTTCCTGGCTGTGCAGAGACTGTTGTGGTACAGTTTGTCACTGGTGGATTATTTGCTGACGGTTACGTAAGAGTGATGTAAAGAAATGTACTTTTGTCCCCAGATAAAATGTGATGCTTTATGTTATGTCTGGTTTGATGGCATGACTTTGCAGTTTGAGCTATTGACTCTTCAGCGTACTTTGTTGTTTGAGTACACGACCACCACAGTGCACGCTCTGTACAATCCACCCGTGCCCATCTGAATTAACACTGTTATAAATTTATAACTTATAAACTCTCTCTTCCAGAGTCTTTGACAAGAAGCCTCCTCCAGTGAACATGTCTACACTGCTGAGTTTTGGATATGTGGGGGAATCGAAACCTACTGCCTAATGCGTTTAGTATGTATCCTCGCTAAAATGTTGCTTTAAGACACAGTTGGATTTAAAAGCAGGAAAAAACTGCATTTGGCTGATACACTGAATGCTACAAAACTTAACACTTATATGTTAATAATGTTTTCTGTTTTGAGGTACACTCAAAATTCTATACTTAGGTGTAAAGTATTTTACTACTGTAAAAAAAAAAAAAGCAGAAACCTTTTTTGCAAAAAATTAACTTAACATAATTTATACAATAATTAGTCTGATCCACTTCCCACTTCCCATCAAAAAATACATTTGATTTAGAAAAAAATATCAAATATATTAAAATCAACTATAATCTAAAGGTACAGTATGTAACTTTCTGGAGGTGGCATGTCATCTGCATGATTCCATGGAAATAGAAAGTTAAAACCATACTAGGGAACATATTCCATGGAGACAGATAAGTTTTAGTTTAGATCTAGCCAAAGGAATCGAAACAAGCAGGAGGAGGCCCTCCCCCAGGCCAAAACAGGAGTCAGGTTTGTGGAGATGCAAGCTCACTTACATTTACACTTACACAGTTTGCCAGTGCAGTACAGAGTGCACCTCTCAGCCAAGGTGCACAGGTCAAGGAGGTATAGCTACAAATTATGCAACAAAAATAAATGAGAAAAACATTGCCTAAATTGCATAATAGTTCCAACACAATCCGCTCAACTATTTGCATGAATTGATGCCATATGACATTATTTATTTAAAGTGGCAAATGTTGCATTTTTAATGGTATTTTCCTCTATTTCCACAGATTAAACAACAGAAGTGTGGTAATGCCCCACAGCACACTACAACAACTTATTATTTTAGTAGTATGCACTATTATTATAAAATAATTTTGTAAACTCTTGAATGCTTGAAATTCAATGTGCCTGTTTTGTTTTGTCTTGTTTCTGTAAGAACAGACATGATCTGTTTACTGTGTATGTTGCTTTTGTATGAATTTGAATAATAAATTATAGATTGCAGTTTAAATAAATATAATTGATTGTGAAAAATTATTGTTTTGTTATGAAATAAATGATCAGGCTTTGTCAAAACACCCAAACTATATGAGAATGTTAAAGGTTATCTTAACTCAGCTTGTCATAACGTGCACATTTTCTATTGCTTTAGCAGCGAGTGTTTTGATTGGTCGATTCCGGCTTGGTCCTTTTAACAGTTATGAGGTGATTGCTCCCTTTCTGTTTGTTTGGGATGGTGGGTGTGAGGGTTTGAAAACTCCTCTTTCTCCAACCAATCAGTGAATAGATAACGGGCCGACGCTATATAAGGCAGCCATAGGGACACAGCTCGTATTCGGATAACTGCGGCAACTCAGAAAAGACTTTTACTGCAAATCTTTTGAGCATTTATTGTGGAATTTTCAACCACCATGGCTCCGATTCTGCTGAACTGTATGGGGAATGAGCACGAGGACTATATCAAGTAAGTATTTTTGCAGCCTGTGTCTTAATATATGCTGATAATGTGTAGATTTTGGTCAAGTTATGAATTTATTTTGTATTTTTTAAGGCAACCAGTCCATGTGAAAAATCCAAATCTTTTTACGATGGAGGAAGATATTCTCTACCATTTTAGCCTGAGCACCAAAACTCACAATCTTCCGGAAATGTTTGGAGATATAAAGGTGACAGCAACAAAAATTGAACTCAGATTTGTTGTTTTTGTCGTGTATTTACTTATATTTTGTCTTATAGTTTGTGTGCGTTGGTGGGAGTGCAAACCGAATGAAGGCCTTCGCACAATTTATCCACCAAGAACTTTCTCTGCCCGGAAACCCCGACGACATCCAAGACATCTGTGAAGGAACGGACCGCTACTGCATGTACAAAGTTGGGCCAGTTCTTTCTATAAGTGTAAGTATCTTCCAGTGCATTAGATTATATAATTTTTCTTGTACTAATACTCTTGTTTGTTGAATAGCACGGAATGGGGGTCCCATCTATCTCCATTATGTTGCATGAGCTGATCAAACTCCTGCACCATGCCCAGTGCAGAGACGTGGTGCTTTTCCGTCTTGGTACTTCAGGAGGAGTTGGTAAGGAATCAGATTTTGGTGTTAGATTAAAAAATGATTGGCAATTATCAGTTTTGAAGTGATAAAATAGAACAGCTTAGACCTATTTCCAGTGTTTATTGCAGTTTCATTGAATTTCATAACTGTCTGAGCACATTCTGTTGTGGTGTTCATGAGCAAGACACAGTTACAGTACACATGGCTGGTTGGAAAAGGGCATTGGACTTGGGAAAATACCAAATCATCATGCTACTGGTTCCATAAAGCAATAAATGCCTGATTATAGTGGATAAGTCAAGATAAAATACTCTGGCATAAGACGGGCTGAGAATCATTAATTTGAATATGAAACACAACCATTTTAATCATCAAAACAGTGAAAATGTTAAATGTGTCACATAAATGAGTTTCCTTCCTCTAAACCAGTGTTTCCCAAACTTTTTTTCTGGGAACCCATATTTTAAAAGTCATAAACCTTTGCGAATCAAGTCAATAGAAATTATTCATAAATCACAACATAAAGGTGGATTTGACCATTATTGGACTTTAATGAGGATATTTTATTGTTGACTGAGTGATCCTGTCTCTCTGAAGAATTAGTATTACTCAAGTTTTAAACAATAAAAAACAGTCAACCAGCAATAAAAGATATTCATAAGTCACCTATTTGGACATTAAATGTAGCCCATTTCTTTTTCTTTTCAACATTCAACTGAGCCAGCAATATTGGAACAAAATAGTCAATAAAATAATTACAAAACTATTAGAAATGATATTATTACAAAACATGTCCTAACATTTCAACATGTGTCAGAATTTATATTGCAGATCGACATGCAGATTGTGACAAGGTGAACCCCCAAAAAATCTCTTGCGACCCACCTGAGGGTCGCGACCCAGTCTTTGGGAACCAATGCTCTAAACAAGCAACAAAACTATAGCTTTGTAACAAAATAATTGAATAAAATATACCAAAAAATACTCTTGGCGATATATCGATACAGCAGCCCATGATATTGATACTGTATCACATTAAACAATACGATATATCAATATTTCAATATTTTTGCACACCCCTAACCATAAGCATATTCTCTTATGTCAATACATCCCAACAGGGGTGTGCCACATGTCAAAAAAAAAAAAAAATCTTATTTCAGTTTTATTACAATTCATGTACATTTAGAAGTGGAATCATCTGCTTCATTGAAAGGTCACTCTTCACTTTGATTGGTTGGTCCTTACGGAAGCTAACCAATAGGGGGTGGGAAAAAAAGAGTCTATGAGTCTAAAGGGATCAGATCACAATTTAATTATTTTATCGCCATGCCTTCATTACATTTTTAACAGATTGTATTTTCCTGTATATTAATCAGCATTCGCTTTACCTGCAGGTCTTCCAGCGGGCACAGTGGTCGTCACGGATAAGGCTGTGGACTACTCCTTCCAGGCCAAGTTCGAGCAGGTGGTTCTGGGTAAAGTCATCACCAGGAGCACAGAGTTGGATGAGGGAGTGTCCAATGAGCTGCTCCAATACTCCACCGAGATCCCCAACCTGCCCACGGTCATCGGAAACACCATGTGCACCCACGACTTTTACGAAGGTATAATTAATCAATCAATAATTACAGAATTTGAAGTTACATTCTGTCTAGATGGAAAATATAAGCTTTATGATTACCAAACAAAGAATCCACATATGTTCAAAGGTTCCAGGCTTCGAACTTTTTGTGCAGAGTTTGCCTATTTCTCTCTGTGTCTGAGCCGGTTACAGAAAGTCCTGGCAACGAAGGAAGGGTCACATGCAGAGTACAAATTTGACAAACTCGTATTAATCTTGCAGCTTCACAAATTTTCAACAGACAAGAATATTATTGTGCTTTTTATAAACTTTAGGGTGGTACCTTTGTTTATTGTGTAGACAGAAAAGACCTTAATGAACTTAATATCAATCACTGTATCATGTGGATACCTTTATTTTTAAAGAAAAACACCAAAAACTCTGAATCAAATGTCATGTGAAACCCAAACAATAGCAATTTTACAGTTTTACAATTTATGCTATTCTTCTTTTAGGTCAGGGCAGACTAGATGGCGCTCTCTGCTCTTTCTCCCATGAAGAAAAACTGGAATACCTGAGAAAAGCATACGAGGCCGGAGTGAGGAACATCGAGATGGAATCCACAGTTTTCGCTGCGATGTGCCGAGTCTGTGGTCTCAAAGGTAGATATTAAAGCTGCATATGAGAGCATAGTAAATGACAAGACTTATTTCATGTTTTCTGTCCTTCCTTAGCGGCCGTCATTTGCGTGACGTTGTTGAACCGTTTTGAAGGAGACCAGATCACATCTCCTCATGACGTTCTTGTGGAGTATCAGCAGAGACCACAGATTCTAGTCTCCTACTTCATCAAGAAACGACTTGGACTGGTCGCCTAATTTATTCTCTTTCTGAATTGTGAATATGTAAATAAAAGGTACTCAGTTTTTCTATATATAGTCCACACTTATTTAAACGTTTGTTAGATCACTTGTATATCTGTATGTATTGCTCTTCACTTTGTATATAGTTTGTTACAATAAACATCGGTGCTACTGTACAGAAGTGATCAGTCGTTTAATCATATTAAATGTGTTTTGTGCTTTTGAATTGCTCTATGAAAAGTAAATAAAGTTTAAACTACAGGGAAATGTCTGTCAAGCTGTACACTCGTGGTTAAATAACATAAGACTATTACTTTGTTTGGTGGGATCGTCTCTGTTATCGATGCACAATCATGGGCTGGATTTGCTGGATCAGGTATCGGTTCCATGATATCGGTTCAGACCCTTGATTGAAAAATTAGATTATTTACTGACTTATACAGGCCCTCATAATGTTTGAACTTTTATTCATACAGAGTTGTTCAGTAGTTGGAAAATAACTACTTCCAAAATATATCTAATTGTGTTATGTAACTGTAATACTGGATATCGGTCAAAATCAATCTAAAATGCGAAGAAAATGTGCACACTGTTTAAACCTTCATTTAAGAAAATACAGGCGTTGTCTAATTTATATAATCGTTTTTATTTGACAAATAAATACATATGACAAGCTTTGGCCCTTGTCTACTAGATGGTTTCTAATGCAGTGTCTCACAAACTTTTTTTTTCTGGGGACCCATATTTTAAAAGTCACAAACCTTTATGACCCAAGTCAATAGACATTATTTGTAAATCACACAATAAAGATGGATTTGACCATTACTGAACATTAATGAGGATATTTTATTGTTGACTGAGTGATCATGTCTCTGAACTATTAGTATTACTCAAGTTTTAAACAAAGAAAAACAGTAATTGAAGCAGCAGTAAATCCATAGATCCATAAGTTGCCTATTTGGACATTGAAATGTAGCCCGTTTCTTTTTCTTTTCAACATTCACTTGACCAGCAATACTGGAACAAAATAGTCAATTAAATAATTACAAAAAGATTAGAAATGATATTATTACAAAAAACGTCTTAACATTTCAACATGAGTTAGAACTGTATATTGCAGATTGTGACAAGGCGATCCCAAAAAAAATCTCTTGTGACTCACCTGAGGATCACGACCCAGTTTTTGGGAAACAACGTTCTAGTGTAACCATCCTGCTAATGTATCTCCATGGAGACAAAACGGTGAAGTTCCCACCACTAGGCCAAGTTACAAGTCAGATCCAGGGAGAGGCGATCCCACTCCAAGGTTCTATATTGCACAAAATTGCCTCCTGTGAGCTTTAAGCCATGTTGTAATGTTATTATCTCTTCAAAACAGACGTAGAGTTGTTTTGTTTCATTAGTCTGTTTACATCTCCAAAGCTCAAAATGCTCTGTTCTACCTTGTGATGTCATGACGTGGTAATTTTCAGATCAACAGCTACCTTTTAGCTTTAGTTCAGTAGAGATCGGCAATTCCAGATCTGAAATCATCCAAATGATTCTGGTGAAGGTGTATGGAGTTTAAAAACACAACACTTACTCCTTTACCATGACATCACAAGGTGCAACGGTGTTTTCAGTTTGAGAGAAGAACTCAGCCTAAATATGCAGGATTTGTGTTAAACATAAATGAAACGAAACAAAATACAACTCCAGGTATAATTTTGATAAGGAACCATTATAACATAGATCAGAAAATAGCGTAATATGAGCCCTTTAAGTAAATTCATGCAGGTATTTTTAATTTTTAACAAAAAATACTCACGGATAATCTCGTTTTAGTGACTGAAATGTTTTGCACTGGGGTTTTAAATACACAAACAACTCTAATTATGCTTCCTGGTATAAACATAACTCAGGTGACATGCAGGTCAAAAGCTGAACACAATATTTTTAAACAGTGAAGTGCGTCTGAAATATAAATCATATTTTCTTGCTGAACATTTTTACTTCCATGTCGCGTTTATCTCACCTATTTGCACAGACAGACACTATCTCCCTCTTATATAAGTTCCCTGACAGACAGATGAGAGGACGTTACGTGACAGCCTGTTCTTTTGTCAGTGTGCTTGGTTCAGCTGCTTTCTACGTCCTGTTGGCTGGAACGCTGTCGGTTATGTTTTTTTTTTGTTTTTTTTTTTCCAAGCAGATATGGTATGTGATTAAAGTGCAGCACAGTTGGCACACATCCAAGGTATGTGCCCTCGCTCACCCACTGACTTTCTGTACAAATCTACACAAATATTTACCATACAAAAAATATTGCCTCATCTGTTCCTGGCTTTGTTTCTGCTGCTTCTAGACGCACATGTGGAGATGTTTTGACAAATATGGACACAGACTGGTCATTGGATAGTTGTTTTTTTTGTTTTTATATATAAGTATACTTTTTATTTATTCAGTTTTTCAAGTTTTGTGTAATAAAGAACAAACAAACCAGCACAAAGCTTATAAGGATGTTGAAGGGTGAATCAAGTCTCTTTTTGTTCATATTTCAACCATTTTGTCCAGTGTTTAATGAAGAAATGTCCTTTGAGTTGTAGAAAAAAAGTCAGTCGTTCCATGGAATATATTTCTTCTAGCCACCGATTCATTGACAGTTTTGCTATTGTTTTTTTTTGTTGTTTTTTTGTATTGTTTTGATCCCAATGTCAGAATCTTAAAAAGGTGTCTGTCCACTTTTTCGATCACTTCTCCGGGCAGAAGTCTTAACAAAAATATCTTCAGCAAAAGTCAAGATCGTATCTGTTTTTCTGAACACATTGTCCCAGAATAATTTTAATTTTGTGCATGTCCAAAAAATATGAGAGTGATTGGCGTTTGAGTGGCTCCACTGTCTCCAACAATGACAATCAAACCCTTGTACTCCAGCAGAAATCTGAGGAGTAATAAAGAGTCACTGGATAGGTTTAAAGTTGCATTGTGGAACTTTTGTGGTAGTCCATCATCTTCTAGTTTCCATAGATATGTTATGGAGCTCAGCAGTGCCCGACTGTCACTTGGTTCTGAAAGTTTACCATTCACTTTTCACTTAGACTTTCTAAAAAACGTAATTTAAAAGTCTGAAATTTTGCAGTGGGCTAATCAGCTCTGTGGTAACTTCTGCCACAAGATGTAAAATTGGATTTAACACCTGTTCCTGAAACTTTATGAACCTGAAGTTATTTAAAACACTGACAGATTGAAGCTTTAAAGGTGTTTTTAGATAGAAAATGAACACTTTAGGGACATGAGTTACCTTAGCGACCATTGTGACTTTAAATTCTTAAAGGGACAGTTTGGAATTTTGGACATAGGGCCTCATTTCCTAATGAGTCAGAGTGTTGGAGATGTGTGGAGACACTTTTTTAAATATTCCATCCTGTTCTTGTATTTGCAGAGGTCGCTGGTGCTAGGCTAGTGCATGTCAATGGCCATAGTTAGCCTGTCGCTAAAAACGGGCTTACCCACTCCACAAAACACATGAAGCAAATCTTTTGTTGCGCTAGACTGTCAATGTGAATGTCTGTGTCAAAGGAATAATTTTAGAAGTAAAACCAACCTTGAATTTGAAGGATTTATGTCTGAGCAGCAGCAGCGAGTTGTACCTGATAGAAAGCTTGGCAGCGGCGGACTGATATATGAGAAAATAGTCCATCAAGATGCGACGATTCATGCGATACAAGAGTAGTTTTATTTCAAACATTATTCTATCAACACAGACATTTACATCGACAGTCTGACGTAATAATAGATTTGCTTCAGGTGTTCTGTGGAGTGGGTAAGACTGTTTTTAGTGTCAGGATAACTATGGCCATTGACATGCACTAGTCTAGCACCAGTGACCTCTGCAAATACAAGGACTGGATATTTTAAAAAGTGTCTCCACACGTCTCCAACACTCTGACTCACTAGGAAATGAGGCACTATGTCCAAAATTCTGAGCTGTCCCTTTAACATTTTTTATTCCTTGTAAAACCTTTTTGAAAATTTACATCTGGAACTGCAATGGGCTTTGAAGTGGGCAAGAATAAAAGTTAGCAATCTAGTATTTTTGAAGAATAAAAACAGAAGTAGACTGCCATTCATCATCATCAGCGGGAAAGTTACATAGTGCACCTTTACCATGAATAAATATAAATGTCTTACAGCATTAGCTCAAAGTTTAATGACAGATTTGGTGTCTTTTCGGGGAGGTTTGGGCGGTGGGATGGTGGACAGAATCTCTTTAGCGTACATGGTGCTGTGTAAACCGGCCTGTCTGAGGGCCTGCTCGATCCGTACCCTTGGATCTGACACAATCTGAAAAAATAAACAAAAAAACAAGATATTTCCAAAGTAAATAACACATTTACAGTTTCAAAACACCCCCAGATTTCACTGTTTACGCTTTAAATTTTATGACTAATTTCCACTTCAGGGCCGCTGTTGGAGAATGATCTGGTGGAGAATTATTAGTCAGAAAAGCGTTGCACAATAACTAACTCTGAACTTAAGACAAACTCACACACACACAGACACACACATGCTGAGGGCTGCGTGGTTAAAGGTCCCAGAAGTAATGTTTGATCAGACTGTAGACTTGCATAATGAGCGCTGGTCACTCCACCCCGAGGTGAAGGGAAGAGGAGAGACCCTTGGCTCAGAACTGGGGCACAGATAAGAGGCGTTTGACCGGACACAAGAAGAGTAGAAAGGTCAGGCTTTAAAGGGAGACTAGAGCTGAGGAGATGCAAATATAGTCGTACAGTAATAGTAGTAATCAACAGGAAGGCACCAGTATTGGATATCGGGCCAATACTGAGAAATTTGCTGGTTGGATGTCGGTTTCTAAATATCGGTTCAGTCTCTATTCCGTTGGACAAAAACATTTATGTAATAAGATGATTTATTGGTTGTAGTTGGTCCAAAAATTCTCATAATACTGGCAGCTTTTATTTACACAAAGTTGTTCTGTAGTTTCTTTGAGAAATAACTACTACTACTACTACTACTTCTTCTACAATAACTGCTACTACAACTACAACAACAACTACTACTACTACTACTACTACTACTACTACTACTACTACTATAATAAGTACTACTACAAGAACTAAAACTACTACAACAACAACTACTACTACTACTATTATTATAACTACTACTACAACTACAACAACTACAATTATAACTACAACCACTACAACAACAACAACAACAACTACTACTACTACTACTACTACTACTACTACTACAACTACAAAACTACTACACAACTACAACTACAACTACTACTACTACTACTACTACTACTACTACTACTACTACTACTACAATAACTACTACTACAAGAACTGAAACTATAACAACAACAACTACTACTACTACTACTACAACTACTACTGCTGCTACTACTACAACAATTACTACAACAACTACTACTACTACTACTACTACAACTAGTGCAACAACTACAACAACAACGACTACTACTACTACTACTACTACTACTACTACTACTACTACTACTAACTAAGCTACATACCACATTTAAATCTGTATAAGATACATTACTAAAAAAGCTGGATCAGTGCATCCTTAGACTCAATATATGTAAAATATTTCACAATCAATATTTTTTTGAAGATTCAAATATTACACAGTAAGTCAGTTTATTAGTTTAAAGGCCTCCTGTGTAACATTTCTGCATGACTCCATGGAGTCAAAGTTAAAGTTTGCTGTGATAAATTACAAGCCAACCAATAAAATCTCAAACACCGGAGATGAATCAAAATCAATACTGACCGTGAAACCTTCTCTTTAGTATCACAATCGACTTTGAAATTTAGTATTGTGACATTTTAAAGGTCTTGTATTACGTAAATTGACTCTCGTGAGCTTTAAACCACGTTATATAACAAAAACATACCCAGAGTTTATTCACACATGTTTGAGTAACTCTTTATTTATTATTGTACTTTGAATTGCGTCATGTACAAATTGCGCTATACAAATAAGTGTGCCTTGCCTTTATTATATGCTCTGTTCCATCTTGTGATGTCATTAACAGATAGTTTTCAAGTTAAGATGCATCTTTTATCTTTTTTCAGTAGACATTGGTAATTCCAAATCTGAAATCATCCAAGCAATTCTAGTGAAGGTGTATGGAGTTAGAAAACACCGTGTAGCACTTCCTGAATTACCACATGACATCACAAGGTGCAACAGAGTGTTTGTGTGTTAAACATGTGTGAATGAAACAAAACACAACTCCAGGTTTGTTTGTGATGAGGAAATAACATTATAGCATAGATCAGAAAGTAGTGTAGTACGGGCCCTTTAAGGACTTTTCTCCATTTAACAAATACATTATTTTGTTTTAAATTGTTTATTTAATGGCAACAGTCTTGATTAGGGATGTAACAATAACCAAAATATTGTGATATCGTATCGTCAAAAGTCTCTCAGTAATATCACGGGCCATCGCAGTGTATCAAATCACATTGTTTTGGTGCAGCAACAGCTAAAAAAACAGCGGGAACTACATTGACCATGATCCTTTGCTCTGTTTTGGTGCAAATTACATGAAGAAATAGCAGTTCTAAGCACTTACAAATCTTAGATCTTTGGATTAAGTCTTGTCAAGGCATTTTAAAAAAGGAAAAAGCATATTCACAAATTTATTAACCTCCATAAAATATCGCAATAAATACTGTACTGTGAGATGTATATCCTGAAAATATTGTACCGTGAGATTTGGATATTGTTACATCCCTAATCCTGATTTTTGATCATCCTAAAAATGATTCTAGATAAAAGATGACACTAGGCCATGTTTATGTTCTGGCCTGTTAGCAGTTTATTTAGTTTTAGTTTTAGTTTTAGTTTTTTATTGCAATGTTATGCAGTAAGGGGCATTAGGGGATTTTTGTTGTTATTTGATATTTTAAAATTTTTAATGCACATGTAAATAACGCTCATTTATACCACAACAAGTCATCGTGATTTCTCTTTTTCATACGTTTCATTAAGAAAATTAAGATTTAACTCATAAAAAGTAGGGATGTAACAATAACCGAAATATTGTGTATCATCAAAAGTCTCACAATAATTCGAGAGCTGTCACAATATAACAAATTATAAGTTCCTTTGCTTAAATGCATTGTTCTTTAGTAGGAACAGCTGATTAACATATGGAACTACATATCCCATGATTCATTTCAGTGCAGACAACATGAAGAAATGTGTTTTTTACTTGAATTCTTGGGATTCTGAAGGAAATAATTCGCACCAAAATCTTGTCAGAGTATTTTAAAAGCAAAAAAGTGTCCTATCTAGTAGAATTATATTTGCCACTCCAAAATATCGCAATAAATATCGTACCGTGAAATGCATATCGTGATAATATCGTACTGAGAGATTTGGATATCATTACATCCCTAGTAAAAAGGATTTAGTTTAGCCAAAGCAAGTCCCGCTCATGTATTTACTCAGTGTGTCAATCAGTTTTTAGTATTTCAATGTGAAACTTTCATACCTCCCTGTCCTTTTTTTCTCCACCGACTGTACTAAACGACTGTATATGATTGTGAAATGAAAGGTGGGGGTTCATTAATGCCCTATGTGTGTCCTTACCTGTGTGTCCGTGTACGTGTGGATGCTGTAGAGAGGTCGCTGAAGTTCAAAATCACTTTCGTTCACGTGGCGACTCCTCGAGGCCTCTGTGTCTGATATTAACCTCTCTGGATCAGCCTCAGCCACCACTGCCACCTGGATACACATTTAAAACAATATCACAGCACAAGTACGCCCACTGGATCCATCTACTGATACTTTGGAGCAACATTTCCTGGAGGTGTGAAGCTAACTGAAGGCACTACTCTGTTAGACGCTCAAGTTAGACTTAATCAGAGTCTGACCAGAAAGAGCTGATTTTGTTGGAACGATAACAGACGAGCTGACATTACATTATGAAAGAAAAAACAGAAGTATGTTTGTTTGACTTTGGTTGTGTTTATGGCATTGAAAAACTTGACAAATACGTGTCCTTACTCTGAACATGATTGCATCTCCACAAACCTGGTTCTTATTTGGCCTCTTCTTGCTTGTTGCTATGGAAATGTTGTTTATTTTTGTGATCTTCAGCAAGGGCGTAGGTTTGGTCTCAGCTTTGGTGGAGACATTATCAGTTATTATCAGCCCCCCTTCAATATGTTTTGTGAATTCTTTCCAAAAAACACACAGAGTCTGGGCAGGTCCAAAATAAATGAGAGGTGGTTTCATTTTTCAGTTTGCAAAATGTACAGTTTGTGTCCATTGTCCTTCTAAGATGATTCTTTAGCGGATAACAGTGATGTAGAAGCAGATGTTGAAGCAGATTTTTCATTGCTTGTTGGTGATGAGGTATTTGTGAGGTAATATCTGTACATTTTTTCATGGAATATTGTGAATAGAGTTGGGCTGCCAACAGCGCATGAGTAGGGCTCCGGTTGGAAGGTGCACTTGTGGTGATAGTCGCTCTTTTTCCACTGCGACTCATTATAAGGCAAGTTTAATTGAAGATGAAGCCAAGTAAGTTCCTTTAAAAAGTTTTTCAAAGTTTGGTGCGCAGCGTCTTCACTCACGCCTGCTCAAGCCGCCATCTTCAGGTGCTGGTCCTGTCCTGCCACTTCCCCAGTTTAGGCTCCTGGCTCCACTAATGACATCACTCTATTGCAGCCAATGAAATAGCGGCAGGTGTAACCCTGTCGTCATATCACTGAATATATCTCAGAACATCTAATAAACAAAAGGTGAACTAAAATGTGTTAAACTGAGTTTGGAAAAATATCAGAATAAATGTATATTTTTGTTTATTAAAATAAAATGGTAAATATTGGTAGGGACTATTTTGTCTTCCCCAAATATTGGTTGTAACGTGTCCCCACCGTCCCTATGCAAACCTACGCCCTTGTTCCATAAAACATGAGTCCATGGAGAATGCATTGTTTTAACTTTCTATTTCCATGGGATCTTGCAGCCACATCCAGAAAGTTACATAATGTAGCTTTAATGTATTTAATCTTTATATTCAGTCAAACTGCAGCCAGAACTCTCCTGTGATGACTTTTATATTTGCTTCCATTTTAAAATAACACTCTGACCAGTAGATGGCAGTGTTGCTCAAACCTAAATAATGCACGTACTGTATCTCCTGTATAATTCCTCAGACAGAGCAGATGAGAGCCGGACACTTCTCACCTGGTTTCTCAGAGCTTCTAGTCGTTTGTTTTTCTCCTCTTCCTCTCTCTGTCGCTCGGCCTCTCGCTCCTCTCTCTCCTCCCGGCGCCGCTGCAGCATCTCCGCCCTGAACTCGACCCTGGAGACAAGACACAGGTCACATGTCAACTTCATTAAATACTTAGATTTTCTACAACTAAATTATTTATTTTACTGAAAAATGTTGTGATATAAAGCAGAGGGGAAGAAGAAGATGAGCAGTGAGAAAGTACTACAAGTGATATTAGCTAGTTGTAGTAGTATTGGTATTATTAGTATCAGTAGCAGTAGTATCAGTAGCAGTAATAGTAGTAGTAGTAGTAGCTAGTAGTAGTAGTAGTAGTAGTAGTAGTAGTAGTAGTAGTCACAGAATGAGTTTAACCCCACCACTGACCATGATGGAAAAGTCTATTTTATATATTTTTGTAGTACGTGCATGTTTATTATTAGTAAACATTTGTGACAGATGTAGAGTTTATCCGTGGGTTTCAAAATGATGAAAAATGAGGACAGTTGCCATAGTCATTGATAATTTAAAACAAAATATTAAATATTCTGAATTACGAAAAGTCTTGAAAATGTCACTTATATTAAGGCACATAAATCAGAACTTTCAAGGGGAATAATAACTAAATTATATAAATGCATTCATAATTTGGCTAAACTACTAAATATATTAAAAATAAATGGGAAAGGGAAGGAGGACATCCCAGTGGAGGACCACAAAATCACATGTTTGGAAAGAATTTGGGTAGAAAAATATATCAAATTTTTTCATAACATCAGACCAAAGTGCCCATTACTCACAGGAAAACACTTGGTGTTGGAGAAACTGTGGCTGCCAAGAGGCCCACCATTACCATGTGTTTTGGGATTGTCATGTCTTGTTATAAATATTGGACAGAAATTAACAAAGCACTGCAAACTCTCTTTAATATGACCATCCCACACGACTTCAGAATTATGTACCAGGGCCTCAAACCCCTAGCCAGGCTGGTGCCACCTAGTGCCTCCGCCTCCGCTCAATTTAATTTCTCTACAGCGACTAGGTCAGGAATCGGATACACTAGACGGTTTGCAAGAACCCCAGAAGTTGTCAGCCGAAAAATCAGCGAAGAGCTGTGAAGCCATGACGTCAAACTCAAGCGCCTGTCTGGGTCCCTCTTGTGGTACAGCACAACAGTAAACAAAGCGGTCGAGATGGATGTAGACGAAGACATACATTCTGTGTTGGCAACGACTCCCAATTTTATCAAGGGGAAAGACTTCTTCCTACGGGATTTGGCACATTACATACATCACGACCAAATAGCAGCGATTGGTTGAATAAAAAAAGTACCCTCCTACCGTCGGGAGAACAAATCCTAAAGGTCAGACAGTTTCCACAAAGTGAAACCGGTAGACAAATCAGTCTATTAAAGCCCTGCCGTGGACACAATCAGTGGATATCTCTGTAACATACTTCTGACAGAAAAAAGCCTATTACAACAACAGCAACATCAATCAAAGACTTGCCAAATTATAAATGAATTTCAAAACGGAAAAAATAAAAATTTGACTTAATTTGAAAATGGACCTCTTTGACAAACTTGGGACTAAATGGGACTCATACGCTGGACATGATGTGCTGTAACATTATTTAAACTTAAATGTAAGTTATAACATAGGACACAATTTGTCTCATTTGTTCTTTCTCTATGTTGTGTTCAATGTTGTGCGTTACCAATGTTTATCTTTTCAGAAAAGCGGAAAAAAATTAAATATAAAAGAAGACAACGCAAGAGAAAGCTAAAAACTATTAATAGTTGTTGATGTTGTCTTTCGCACTGAAGATCCTTATGGAAAACAAAACTTTGGTCGGACAAAATAATCAGTTCACACACTGTATAAGAAGAGAGTGTGACGTCACCCATAGTGTTCGGCTCCACTCAAATGAAGCTCACAACGCTAGCAGTTATAGGAGCGAATTTGGAGCCGAGTTCCATATTAGGAAATCCTTTGCAAACAAAATAGCGAAATAAAAACACCAGGATCATGTAGAGCGGATTAATACACATTTTGAGACCAAATGAGCCTCACAGCAGCAGTTCCAGAGAGAGGGGTGACCATTTTTCAAGGGAGTCGATGAAGCCATGGAGGAGTCTTTTTAGTTGTATATTTTTTTAGTAACTTCAGTAACATATTCAAAGGCATCAGTTCGATCAAGTCTACTCCTCTCCCTTACACCACCCCACGCATCCCCTCTCCCTCTGGGCGCTGTGGTCTTCAGGCGGTGGGGGGATTTATGGAGCTTTTACACCCACACCACCACACCTACCGCTCCCGGACCATCATGCGCTCTTTATCTCCCCTCTGTAAAAGCTGTGAGCACCAGGGCTGCGCGAGGTCCCATTCTACAACCAGTGTCAGCGCCATTATCAACCTATACTTCAGCCTTGGAGGATAACACGGCACATAAACTCAAACAGATTAGGTCAGGCCGCAATGACCCGCCGTAAAGGTTGTAGAGATAAATAGTTGTTTATTCATTTTATGGGGCAAGGAGATGGTCATTTTGATGTGCATCTAGATGTGATTGCAAAGAGGGTTTACAGCGAGTATCCTGGATTATGTCGGTGTAAAGACGCACAGATCACCTCTCCCTGGTACAAATGCGTGTGGTTTATAGACATAGTTAATGAATTTGGTTTAAGACGTTGTAAAAGAGAGTATTTAAAGGTCTGACGCCTGCTTGTTTCTATGGATATACCATTGCTCTGCCTGGAATGTTCCACAGTATGACATTAAAGAGCTCTGCCCTACAAAAGCAAAAGACCTTAACTCGCCACAGTGTGAAACAGAAAAGTGACTTCAAAGTTTCTCCAGACAAAAGTAAAACAGGTAGGACTCCTCAACTTGACAACTAGGTGCTATAATGAAGAAATATTTGTATGCGAAAAATATTGAGCTCAGAATTGACCTTTAACCCTTAATTGACAGTTCCTGCGCTCTGCCTTTGTATCACGAGCCAAAAGTAAGGAGTCGTGCAAAGGCAAAAGGCAGAAACATGATCATTATTTGCTTGATTTTCACCAGGCTTTCATCCATTATGAGAACACCTCACCAAGGTCGAGTCATCATAGTGTTACAGAAGAGCTTTGGATTTCCTTACACAGTTAAACAGTTTGACAGACAAGTGACTTTGCAGTATAGTGTGTACAGTATGAATAAATACACCAAATACTTTCACATTAAAGATAATTTAAGTATAATTAAATACAAAGGCATATTTATTTAATGTGTTAAGACTCTCTGTGCCAAGGCTGCAACAAAAAGAAGGAGGCGAGAGGTTGGATCTTAAACTGAACTAAATCACAAACAAACATACACTGTTACTGCCTTTTGTCTTTGCACGACTCCTTATTTTTGGCTCATGATACAAAGGCAGAGTACAGGAACTGACAAATAAGGGTCGAAGGTAGGGTTGTAACAATAACCGAAATATCGTGATATCGTATCGTCAAAGTTCTCACAATGATATCATGGACCATCACAATATATTGAGTTATGGTCCAGCAATGACTAAAAAAAGACAAAGGGAACTACATAGACCATGATCCTTTGCTCCATTTCAGTGTAGACTACATGAAGAAATAACAGTTCTAAGCACTTTTAAGTCTTAGTTCTTTGGATTAAGTCTTGTCAAGGCATTTAAGAGGAAAAAGTAGTATATTAACAGTTTTTTTTTAAGCCTCCACAAAATATCGTAATAAATATTGTACCGTGAGATGTATATCGTGAAAATATTGTACCGAGAGATTTGGATATTGTTACATTCCTAATCGTGAGCCCCCACCACCATATCGTGAGCTTTCCCACGATATCGCAGTAAATATCGTACCGTGAGGTTCATACCGTGATGATATCGTATCGTGAGGCTTGGATATCGTTACACCCCTAGTGAAAGGGCAATTTTGAGCTCCATATTTTTCATGATATTTATTAACATGATAAAGGAGGTCTCAAATACCCTCAAAATGACTCATTTTTGACCAGACAGGCAGAGCTGTACTTAACATTTATTCAATTACAGGTGGGTTTACAGCTCAAAAATACCAAGACAAACAGGCATTCTGACTGTGAGCGACATCGCCTCTCCACAGATCTGACCTGTAACTTGGTCTGGTTTGGTCTCCATGAAGATAGAAAGGTGTAATAAAATACTGTGAAACATTCCAGACAAGTAATAACGTCTTTGTGGAGAAAAGCATTTGACGAAGCCACCCCCAGAAAAGTTACACAATGCATCTTTAAACTCTCTGAGGTGAGAAAAAGCAGACAAGCAGCGAGGCCATACAGACAAGACTGTGATCTCAAACTGGGTAGAATATTTAATTAAAACTTCTTTCAAATAAATGATAAAAGGACAGTTTGGTCAAGAAACTGAAACTAACATAAAAGAAGAAAAGTACCTAAGGCGTGCTTTGAAATGGCAGTTCCCGAATCAAAACTGTGCGGATTAAAACAGACTTTTATAGATAAGATAGATAAAAAAAGATTGGGGAGCAGCAGTAGTTCAGTTGGTGGTGTTCATCCTCTGATCCAAAGGTTGCTGGTTTGAATCTTGCTTCCGACATAAAATGGTAAAGACAGGACACCCAACCTTACTGTCTGTGTACACCGGTGTATGAATGTGTGTTCCTTAACGTCCTGTATTTTGTGAGCTTTAAGCCATGCTATTATTAGTCTGTCTACATCTCCAAAGCTCAAAATACTACAAATTGTGTTCAGTACAGATTGGCAATTCCTAAGCTGAAATCATCCAAATGATTCTAGTGAAGGTGTACGGAGACAGTGGAGCACTTCCTGTATTATCACATTACATCACAAGGTGGAACAGAGTGTTTTCTGTCTAAACATGCAGGATTTGTGTGTTACACATGTGTGAATACAACACAACATTAACAACATTATAACTTTATAACATAGATCAGAGAAAAGAGTAACAGTGTAAAATGTTTTTAGTTTCTTGAAGGTAGAAAAACTCAATATAAATAACCATTTATGTGACTATTTATGTATTTATAACATGTACTGTATCTGTGTAATTGTAGAACCTGTAATTATTCATACTCATGTTTGTTCCTCATAATTATCCATACCAATTATTAATCATCATTAAATTACACTACAGTGCCACTTGATTCATTAAGTGTAAAATAAATATATAAAATCTTACTAAATATGTTTACAATCTTTCCTTCTAGAAAGTGAACCAAATATGCAAGTTGTCGTATGTATTTAAAAAAAAAAAAAAAATGCAATGATGGTAATCTACTGCAGTCTCTCCAGTCACCACCAGTAACACTTTACATTCATACATGGGCAGCAAAGGAAGCGTCTTGCCAAAGGACACACAACAACAGCATCCACATTTGCAAATGTGTTTTATGAAATGTAATTTTTTTTTCAAGACTTACATCTGTATTTTAAATGTAATTTTGTTTTCAAACTTTTAATGTGTGTTGTGAAATGTAAGTGTTTTGCCTTGCCGGACACCATAAGGAACCACTCAACCATTCACACACATAAGGTAAGGTGCGCAAGTGTCTTGCCCAAGGACACAACAACAGCATTCATCTGTGGGAGCTGGAATCGCCCCATCTTGTGGATCTGACCACTCTACCAATGATGTTTGTGTCAAGAGTGGGATTTCGAACCGCCAACCTTTAGATCAGTGGATAATTACTCACCAACTGAGCTACTGTTGCCCATATGTAATAAATATATAAATATTATAAATAATTGTTGTTGAGTCTTTATGTTTATTTATGTTATAAATTTAGATCTGCTAATGTAAGTTTTTGCAGTATAGATATTTGCTCAAATAAGTATCTAGTTTCAATATTAGTTTTAGTATCGATTAGTATCTGATTTCCAATACTTTTGACAACCCTATCCCATATAGTTTTTTTTTTTTGCAACATACTGGTCAAATCCAGTTCATTTTTTAAAGCAGAACTCGCCTTAATGATCCAAACCTTACCTCTCTTTATCTCTCTTGGCCTGTTCCCCCATTAGGGCTCTGAGATTAGCCAGTCTCTCCTGATCTCTCCTCTCCACCTCCTCCCTCTGCCTCTGCTGCTTCAGGTAAAACTCCTTCACCTGCGGGATACCATTTAAGAACAAAGAAAACTGTTAGAACAAACAAGCACACAAATACTCCTGATGCCCTCCCGCTAATGCGACTCTTAGCATCCCCGCGTCCTATTGATTGAGATGGAGACGAAAATCAGATAAGTCTAAATAGAGAGAATGAGCCCATGCTTCACTGTCTGGCGGAGTTTTGTTTTGTATCATATGGAATCCAATGGAAAGTTAAACGCCTCCATTAATCACATCGTCTTCCTCCCAGAAGCCCGAGGAGAGAGGTAATTAAACAGCCAGACGTGTAGTTATGGTAGCACCTGCGGGGGTAGCCATTTGAAGCCATAAAAAGCAAAATGACTGAGGCCACTATTATGATGTCAATTTTGTACTTAGGCGTAATAGAAACAGCTGGCTTTCTCTTTTATGTGTACCAAAGTTTTACAAAATTCAATTCAATGTGAACCTTTATTTTATCCTTCACTTATATTCTTCACTGGAAGAAGAGAAATACAGACATATAGAGGAGTTAGGCTTGTTAAAGTGCAGGGTGTTAAGGAAAAATCGACTTTTAGGAGCTTTCTACCGTGTAATAACGTTGTTCCCTCAGCAAAAACAAGTTTGATGAGGTTATATAATGAAATGGGGAAAATGTTTTTAAATACCCAGGTCACTTACTCTACTTAAAGGGACAGTTTGGAATTTTTTTTTTACATAGGACCTCATTTCCTAGTTAGCTCCATCCAGTCCTTGTATTTGCAGAGGTCACTGGTGCTAGGCTAGTGCATGTCAATGGCCATAGTTATCCTGCCACTAAAAACAGTCTTATCCACTCCACAAAACACCCGAAACAAATGTATTATTACACCAGACTGTAGATGTAAATGTTTGTGTTGATAGAATAATGTTTGAAATAAAACTAACCTTGCATTGCATGAATCGTCGCATGTTGCGGGACTATTTTCTCAGCAGCAGGAGAATTTTACTTTGTTGTAAGATATATGCTAGGTCATATTAGTCCAAGCTTTCTTAGCCAGGCTGGTGCCACCTAATGCCTCCACTCATTTTTTATTTCTCCCCAGCGACTAGGTCAGGAATCAGAATACACTAGACGATTTGCAAGAACCCCTGAAGTTGTACGCCACACACCGGCGAAGTGCTGAACCAAATGAAGTTGCGATAGCAGACTGCATACACTATCCTTCTTTAGACTTCTTTTGTCAAATACAATCTTCACATTTTTTTTATTGCACCTTTAATTCGCAAGTTCACCTCGCAGAAATGACAATGATCTTTGACAGACATGTTCACTCTCTGCTTTGTTTGCAGTTGTGCCGGCAATTACTTGGACACTACTGAGCGTTCCGGTGCAATACATACGTCACGAGCGAATAGCAACGATTGGTTAAATAAAAAAGTACAAAGCAAACAAATCCTAATGCTGCGAGGTCTATCAGGAAGTGCAAATCGCTGCTGCTGCTGCTCAGACATAAATCCTACAAATGCAAGGTTGATTTTACTTCTAAAATTATTCTATCAACACAGACATTCACATCGACAGTCTGGTGTAATAATAGATTTGTTTCAGGTGTTTTGTGGAGTGGGTAAGACTGGTTTTAGTGGCAGGATAACTATGGCCATTGACATGCACTAGCCTAGCACCAGCGACCTCTGCAAATACAAGGATTGTGTGGAATATTTTAAAAAGTGTCTCCACACGTCTCCAATACTCTGGCTCACTAGGAAATGAAAAATGTCCAAAATTCCAGACTGTCCCTTCAAGTTAATTTGAGCAAACTTATTTGAAATGATTAGATGCTAATGCTTTCTCAGTCATCCAGATAGATTGCACAATGCTCCATGGATGTATACTGGTCAATGTGCTCTTATACTTGTTCTGATACAGCTCAAGATCATTCTAAAGCTGTTCAGGAAAGTTTCATTCTGTTTAGTATCGATATCTGGTCAAATGAGTTTCAATACTAGTTTTTGTATTGATTAGTATCTGATTTTCGACACTTTTGACAACCCTAATCCAAACTCCACACCAATTTGGATAACCCAAAATGTCTCCAAAGTTGCCTGCCCAGTTTTAAATAACTCAACAGCACGCAGAAATAGTTAGTTTGTTGTCCCGGGGTACAGTCTGTTTACTTGTTTTTTCTGGTGCGTTCTGATGGCAGCTTGTCTCTCTTTCTCCCTCTTCACCCTCTGCTCCTCGGCCTCTCTTTGTCTGGCAGCTATGGCAGCTTCCAGCCTTGCCACCTCCTCCTGCTGAGCCCGCCACTGCTCCAACTGCACACACAAAAACACACACACACACAAAAACATGAAATACGCAACAAAATACACAACGCAAATACACAAAAGATGTCTGTACACTTCAACAGCTGTGTGGGAGAAAACAGACCTGCTGAGTCCAAGTGACAAAGTGTCTAAAGCTGGTATGAACTTTTTCAGAAGTGTTAAAGTGTCTTGATAGCATTAGATCATCACTTGGGGCCATTTCCTTGAATCAGGAAGTGTGCAGTTAGCATGTGAGTTGTTGCTACCTTTACTTTCAGCTAAAACTCCACTCTGGTCTCTGAAAATGGTGAAAAATAAAAACTAATTGCTGTAAATAATTAGGATGTTTTGAATGCATACGGTAAGGGAGGAATAACTTCAGACCGCTGCAAAATGTTTAAAATGAACTAGTTCTGTTTTTCACAGTTTTAATACAGTAAAAATCAGGGACAGTGCCTTTAACACTTACACTATATTAAATGTAGCAGTAGCATTTGTGGCAGTAGATGTCTGTATAATCCGTCAGTTGTCCAGTTAGGATTCTGTCAACTGGACAAAGGATTTTTTTTTGTGGCAGTACTAGAAGAAAGAAACTGCAAAAACGTCAAAATATCACTTTCGCTGCCTACTAGATAATGTTCAAAAATGGTTTAAAGGGCCTGTACCTGTCCACGTATTTGAGCAAAATGTGTCTTGCCCCAGTACAGGTATCTGGAGGTCAAGAAGTTTGGAGTTAGCGTACTAGTTAGGGGTGTAATGGTACATGTATTTGTGTCGAACCGTTTCAAGGGAGTTTGCGCAGTTTGTGTGTGTTTACGTTCCACCGTAACATGTGCAGCTACACGGAAGGCTCGGCTCTTTAATAGTCACGAGGGAACTTGTCTGTGATTGGGCTGACAGTGTTTCCCGCAGCGCTTTATAGTTAGGGCGGTCACCTTGACAACAAGCTGTCCCCCGCCTTGACTACGTCCCTCCGAACCACGTGAATCCTCGCAAAACTATGATCATCGCTCCCCCTTCCTCAGTTTGGACACTGTAACTGCCAGCAGATCTGCGGACAATGTGGTCAAGTTGTTTTTTTCTGGCCAAAAATATGATGATTGAGTAAAACTTCATGCTGGAACTGTTAGTGCTGCTCTGTAATTTTTTGAAAAGTTTTGTTTACTGTTCACAAGGAATTAATTTTTTATAACATTTCATACATTTGCTGCTTATTTGAGAATATTTTATTTAACGTATCAGTATTACCAAGCAGCAGTTTGCATTTATTTTATTTTCCCAGTTGTATAATGTTAAAACAAATTGCTGGTTTAATAAACACACAAATAGCAAATGGTTTTCCAGTTTGTTCCCATACTGCACTGAAAATGAACCGAACCGTGACCTCAAAACCGAAGTACGTATCGAACCGTGATTTTTATGTACTGTTAAACTCCCCTCCGGTCTCTGAAATCTGTGAAAAGCTCTTATAAACTCATTGTGGTGAATAATTAGGATGCGTAAAACAAACGAGGAATGATTTTGGCCCACTGCAAACCTTTTTAAATGTTTTCGAGATGTTAAAATCAGGTACAACACCTTTAAACAGGCACACCGTTTACACCGATTGTCACAGCAGCCTTCTAACACTGATCGGGAGTGAGTGAGTGACATGTGTTATACAGTAATAATATGTGGGTTATTTAAAGTGTTGTGCGGCAGCGAGACAGCATGTTCACAGATCCATCAGCGCACGGCTTTACCCATCCCTCTGGGGCTAGAGACTGCTTCTGACGCATTAGCACGGCCTAGCTCGCACAATGCTTCTCACGTGATATGACGGTGTTTGGTGACAGCGCCTTGTGACAAAGCCGGTCTCTAATTCTGTCCCGTTTGATACCTGTCCAACGTAACAGGTGTCAATGAGGGGTTTTGTTACAGTTGGACAATGAAAATGACATGGAAACAGATGGTTGATGGTGGTGAATTTTGTTTTGTGTAATAAGAGTTGTCAGATCAGCAAATATGTTGTTGTAAAAAAAAAGTAACTGCTCTGTAAGACACTGCCAAATCAAATTGTTTACGTCCATCTCATCTGTTCATATTTAGTTATACACAAACTTTGGCATTGGTTTTGACTGTAATGGACCTCTTTATGCAATAATTTTCCTTCCTGGACTTGTAACCCTAGACCGAATAAAGAAGTGGACGTAGTGAGTGTGAAGGCATAGTGTTCGGCTCCAGTCAAATGAAGCTCATAAAGGTTGGGAGTTGTAGGAGCGAATTTGGAGCCAGTTTCATAATAGGAATAGGAATTTATTTACAGACAAAATAGTGACATAAAAACACCAGGATCATGTAGAGAAGGTTAAAGGGACAGTCCGGAATTTTGGACAAAGGACCTCATTTCCTAGTGCGTCAGAGTGTTGGAGACGTGTGGAGACACTTTTTTAAATATTCCATCCAGTCCTTGTATTTGCAGAGGTCGCTGGTGCTAGGCTGCCAGCCACTAAAAACAGTCTTACCCACTCCACAAAACACCCAAAGCAAATCTATTATTACGCCAGACTGTGGATGTGAATGTCTCTGTTGATAGAATAATGTTAGAAATAAAACTAACCTTGCATCGCATAAGAGAAAATGTTTTTGTTTACGTCTGATTTCCATACACGCGCAGTGGCTGGTAGGCAAAAAGTGAGTGGGGCCGCTTGCCTTGTGTTGACAGTTGCGTTGCGTACGTCTCCATCATGAGATAACTCGTCTTATTTTGAAGTAGGTTTTACATTTAATTGTTTTGACATGACTTCATCATCTTACTCTAAGTCACTGAATGTTGAGGATCAAAAATGTTACTTTGAAAAGTTAAAACTCGCCGATAACTGTTGACGATGTTGACGTTGTACTGTTCTATGACGATTGCTGATGTTGTACGCCAATAACTGTTGACGATGTTGACGTTGACTGTTGATGTTGACTTGTTGATACGGACACTTTTTGCCTACCAAAATGGCTGCCGCCCCAGACGTGACATCATTGTGTTTTCTCATATGAATCGTTACATGTTGAGGACCTATTTTCTCAGCAGCAATGGAATTTTACTTTGCTGGTAAGATAGGCCTTAGGTGATATCAGTCCGCCGCTGCCAAGCTTTCTATCAGGAAGTACAACTCACTGCTGCTCAGATATAACTCCTTCAAATGCAAGGTTGGGTTTACTTTTAAAATTATTCTATCGACACAGACATTTACATCGACAGTCTAGCGTTATAATAAATTTGCTTCAGTTGCTTTGTGGAGTGGGTAAGACTGTTTTTAGTTGCAGGCTAACTATGGCCATTGACATGCACTAGCCTAGCACCAGTGACCTCTGCAAATACAAGGACTGGATGAAATACTTAAAAAAGTGTCTCCACACATCTCCCACACTCTGGCTCACTAGGAAATGAGACCCTATGTCCAAAATTCTGGACTGCCCCTTTAATATGAACATTTTAAGACCAAAATGATGAGGCATTTACAGAGAGAGAGACCATTTTTCAATGTAAAGTCAATTGGAAACAGTCGAAGGAACCGGAACACGGCAGCGGGTTGGATAGTAATATTTTTCTCAATAATACAAGTATGTTCTCATATACAAGGCTATGTTCTCATTGACTTGTTTGTTCAGTATGGCAAGAAGGATACCGATTTATACAGTCGATGCTTGTAACACACAATGGGTTTTACAAACTTTTACATTCAATAAAATTTATGTACATTATTTTGTTGTCAAAATTTGTGTGCATACTAAAACTTAATTGAATACCACGATGAATATTACAACACAAATAGTAGTGGTAGTTTCTTTAATATAATATGGTCTCATAAATCATGTAAATAAAGAACATTCTAGGGGTTCATATCACCAAAATCAAAACTGGAACTAAACTGGGAGTAAACATGGAGCAAAACCAGGACTATAATAGGACCAAAGCGAGAAAGTATTCGATTCAACAGGGTTAAAACTCGGACAAACAAAACTATTCAGGAATGTCCAGTATTGTTTTTTTTTTTCTTCAGTGTAGTGTTTTAGTATTGATCAGTATCTGGGTATTATTTTTGACAGCCTAATATTAAAATACGACTGAATGTGAGCCCCAAATGAGGACAGCACAGATGAATTGTGAGAAAAAATATGCAAAATCACCCTGTAAGTGACATAATCCTAACAAATTCCTTCAGTATCACTTCAAGCATCTTTCAAAACATTGTACTGCCACATACTGTTAGTGTTTTCAAAAGAATCTTAAAACTACATTATAACTACGGTCACACGATGATGCTATCTGCCTCAAACCTTGACTTTAGATTATGTCAACAGTGCGTGGGCTTTGACAGTAAAAATGTACAGATACTGAACATTGTAAACACCAGATTTAAGCGACAGAAGTCCATGTTGTGTTTTGAAGGACACCAAGGGGAAAAACATAGGCGTTCATGAGAGAATTGTCGTCGAAATGTATAAGAGAGGAGAGAAAATGGAGATTTCTGTGACAATGCAGAAGTGTATGAGCTGTCAGGGTAACAATAGTGTGACAGGCTCTTTATCCGCAGCCTATTCAAAGCCTTTCTTAATGTGAGCGTGCAGTTTTAAGTGAAGGGTTTTGTCAGACTGCGTGGCCACGTGTCAGATGCTTCCCTGACAGCTGTGACTTTCTGGTCTAAAAGAGAGAAATGAGAACGAAGATAAAATGGAAAACATAAATAGTTTGTTGGTGTTGAGGCTGGAAGGAAGATTCATTTAAAAGCTATTAACAGTATCACATTTTTTCCATGTATTTGTCTTGCCTCAGTACAGACATGTTTTTTTTGTTTTTGTTTTTTGAGTAATCCTTTATTATTAGTCTGTCTAAGTCTAAATTTATTGTATGCATATTATTATAAACATACATAGAAAGACAAAAAATCTAAAAATAATACTCAAAGATTACACAAAATAGGGGTAATTAAACCACTGTAATAGATCATTTAATTTCTTTATAAATTGATACA